CCCTTCCCTGCTCCCCGCTCACCTGGCAGCCTCTGCCTGGCGGGGGCTTTGGATGCTCAGCGGCGACTGGGGCAGCGCAGGTCCCTGCAGCCCCGGCACATGCCGCGCTCCTGCCCCGCGCCGCAGCCTTCTTCCTGCCGCGCAGGGTGACGGGGCCGCAGGAAGGGTCCCCCAGTGGCCGGGGAGTCCCGAGCCGCTGGCTGGGCCCGGCCTCCCCATGGTCCTGCGGGCTCGGCTGGGGCACGCGGGCTGCCCGGCCTCCGGGGGCAGCAGCGGCCCCTCCGCCACCTTCTGTGGCTACGCCCCCCTTCTTCCCCCGCCAGAGCTCGCTACCATGTAGCCGGGCGGCTGGGCTGCGCTGCGGACCCGGTGGGTTCTGCTGGGGCCGGGCGGACCCTGACTTATGCTGCCTCCCTATTTCCCCGGACATATGTTTTTTTGGCAATTCCCCCCGGACGGGGATTTGAGCACCAAAAAGCCAGACATGTCCGGGGAAAGCCGGACGTATGGTAACCCTACACCTGTGGGGTTGGGGGGGGTGTCCTGTGCACAGATCCCTCTCCAGTCTGCACCCCTACCATGCAGAATGGCCTGGTGCAGCGGGGAATGGGAGGCTCCGTGGCTGCGCTTGGCGTGAACGCTGAGAGCGGTGGGGGCTGCTGCAGAGCAGGGGCCTGGCTCGCGGTGGCTGCCTGGAAATGCAGTTGCACTGGGTTGTGGGGAGGGACGTGGGCCGGGTGGGTGACCCTGGGGGGGGGATTTTGAGCTGTTGGAGGTGCTGGTATTGCCCTAATGAAATGCCTCTCCAAGGGCGATGAGCTCGATCTGCTGTTCTAGTCCTTCATCCCCACCGTCAAAGCCAGCAGCTGCTCTTCTCCAAGGCTGGAGCCTCCTTGATCTGCTGAGGCTGCCGGCTCACCCCATGGGCACTGGGCTGGGGCTCGCAGAGGAGCTGCAGCTGGTGTGCGCTGTGCGGGGGAGATGGAACAAGCAGCCCTTGTTAATGTGCCTCCTACCTGGCCTGGCGGCCTCCCCTCCCCCTGGGGCCTGCTCAGTCCTTCCCTGCTCTGAGCCAGCAAGGGAGGGAGTCTGCTGCACTAGGAACCCCCCACTCACTGTCCACCTGCCCCCCGCAAGCCAGGCAGCCTCCCCTCTTAGTGCCAGAAGCGCTGCTCCCAGCTGGGAGGTCAGCTCTCCTGTCCCTGGGGCAGTGGCGCTTCTGGGACCTGGAGCCCTTGAGCCATTTGCTCCCAATCCTCTTTTCAGAGGGAAGTGGGGCCCCAGGGGATTTCTGGGGTGGGGATTTCTGTGCAAAGGAGTCAAGCCCCTCGCCCTCTCTGCCTGGAAGGGCTGTGAGTATCTCCCTGTTTGCAACCTCCACAATGCTGGGGCTGGGTGGCCTGGGATTGCTCCAGGCTGGGACATGTCCCTGCTCGCTGGAGGGGTTGCGGTGAGTGACCGACCCAGCTGCCCTGTATCCATGGTGTTAGTAGGTCCCACTGGGGGGGGGAGGAGGAGAAGAGAGAGCCCCCAGGCTGGGAGCCACAGCGAGAGCCCTGGTATAGACAAGGCTGCTCATGTCTGTGTACTCTGGGCGCTCCCCGGCCTCGCTAGCCAGCAACAAGAGGCCGAAGGCTGGGCTTTGGCTTCTGCATCTTCCACCTTCTCAATGTGCCCATTAAGTGCCAGCTCCCCTGTCTGAAAGGGCTCGCGGGAGCCCCTCCAGCTCTGCCTCTGGGCTGCCTTCCCGCTGGGGCTGGGCTGGGCAGGGCTGGACCCCCGTTAGTGCAGCTCAGGGGATCTGCTCCACGAGGGGGGGGGGGGTGCAACTGCCTCTGCAGGGCCTGCTGCAGCGCCTGCTGCAGCAGCCTTCCCCCGTCCTGTGGGGGATGGGGTGGGCAGGGCTGGCTGGCGTTGAGGGGCCCGGGCCCCATTCTGTCCCACTGAGGTGGGGCAGGAGGACCCATTCCAAGCCCTAGTGCCTAGGAATTTGGGCAGGGATGGGCTCTCAGCAGACCCTGCAGAGGGGATAATGTGGGGTGGTTTCATTTGGGGGTGGGGGTCCTGGGCCCTTGGCCAAAGGGAAAACCGCCTGTGTGTGAATGCTGAACCTGCCGCTGCTCCAAGGCGTCCCGAAGCCAAGCTCCTGGAACCCGCCCGGGTTAGGGGAGCCCCCCATGTGTGTGGGGACTCTCGGCATAGGGGCAGCCTTGTGTGAGGCCGGATCCACTCATTGTTTGTCTCTGGCCCTGCCAGGCCTGGCATGGGCTCTGTGTGGGGCTGGGCCCAGCCCCTCTGTTCCCCCCACCCTGTGCACTGGGGGTCCCTGCCTCTAGGTCTGTGCAATAAAAAGGAGAAGGCTTTTGAGACTTGTTCTTCTTTCCAGTGCGGGCTGGGGGCTGTAAGACGGGGTGTAAACCCCATGGTGGGGGTGGGACTTAGTGACTCCCTGTACTGCACGGAGCCGGCAGACTCCTGCACAGCAGAGACTAGGGGGTCCCTGGGGCTGGCTGGGAGCTGTGCTCCTGGCGGTAGGTGTCGTGTGACTGCTGTAGTGGGGTTGGGGGGCAGCTCCAGGCAGGCCCTGCTCTGTCAGCTGTGGGGCTCTGCACCCAGCCTGCTCTAGGTGCCTTATGCAGGAGTGGCCCCACCTGGCGGTGAGCCCTGGAGCCAGCCGTGAGGCCAGGGCCCCCAGGTGCAGGCGTGCCTGCTGCCCTACCAGACGCGCTCTCCAGCGGCCTGGGAGCGGCTGTTAGTGGGGTCTCTCCTGCCCCCTAGTGGATAAAGCTGCTGGCTAGAGTCTCTCACACCTGCTCAAAGCAACAGAGGGTCCTGTGGCACCTTGAAGACTAACAGAAGTATTGGGAGCATGGAAATTTATCAACCTCCTGAAGAAACTTGCACAAATACAGACCTTAAAAGTGCCACAGGACCCTCTGTTGCTTTTTACAGATTCAGACTAACAGAGCTTCCCCTCTGAGACTACACACCTGTTCAGAGCAGCAAGGCCAGCATGGATGGGGGGCTTCACCTCGCTTCTCTTCCACCAGATGGCTTGTTGCTGAATCCAGGGGCAAGCGCTCCTGCCCCCCCGTGTCCTCGCCTGGCCCCTGAGCTGCTCTTGCCCTGATGCAAGTGGAGGGGAGGAGGGAGCTGCAACGAGCCGGCCAAGCAACTCCTGGGCACTGCAAATGTACATGCCTTGCCATGTCCTCAGTGCCACTTGGCAGGCGTTTCCCAGGCCCTAGCCAGGGCAGCGGTCACCTGCCAGTTATTGTGACATCACAAACTCCGCTGGGCTGCAGGCCCCCAGGCAGGTTGCAGATGGGGCCTGGCCTGTCCCCCTCCTGTGGTGCAGAGGAGCACTAGAAAAGCCGGGTGGCTGTAGCAGACAGAAGCAGCATGCTGTC